GTCATGATTTTGACCTACCAGTTTCAGGCCCAGCAAGTAACCAGAAGAACTGAGGATGTCTGAGTCAGCTGGGACCATTTTACTGAATCACTAGGACAGTCTCCAAATGTTTCTTCATAGGTGGCTGCATGCATACATACACAGATCCAGCACCTGCTTTCAATCAGTCAGATTGCTCATGTGCTAACTGAAGCAAAATCTGGCATGGTGGGGGGCGAGGAGGTAACTAATGTTATACAAAGAATGACCTAACTGCCAAGGCTCTAAGCGTGTGGTACTGTTGGCCTGAAGTAAGTGTACTCATCACTTTCCCAGAGCGTACCCAGTGCTCTGATATCGCAGAGTGGTTGCCATTACGAGTATTTGCTAGGGATTTATATCCTTTTTCACAATAATAGAGCTTTGTCCCCCCTTCAAAATTAATTTGTCCTGTTCTTGGAAGTGAAGATTCTCAGCATCAATGGTAACTTTTTTCCTTTTCCTAAAAAAAAAAAAAGTACACAAGTCTGATGGCTAAGGGCCCAATGATGGAGCTTTTAGATGGATTTTTGCGTTCTTTTGTAGCTCCCAAAAATCATGCCAGGCCATGAGAAATTGGACTTTAAAGTTGTGATGCTTCATGTATTTCAAAAGAAAGCCTCTCTAAGATAGTGCTAATGTTTTGCATAAATTTCTTTGAATAATGCTTCCAGGGATGGTGACTCAACCACTTCCCTGGGCAGCCTCTTCCAATGTTGAACCACTCTTTCAGTAAAGAAATTTCTCCTCACGTCCAATCTAAACCTCCCCTGGCGCAACTTGAGGCCGTTTCCTCTTGTCCTATCGCTTGTTACTTGGGAGAAGAGACCAACACCCACCTCGCTACAACCTCCTTTCAGGTAGTTGTAGAGAGCGATGAGGTCTCCCCTCAGCCTCCTTTTCTCCAGGCTAAACAACCCCAGTTCCCTCAGCCGCTCCTCATAAGACTTGTTCTCCAGACCCCTCACCAGCCTCCTTGCCCTTCTCTGGACACGCTCCAGCACCTCAACGTCCTTCTTGTAGTGAGGGGCCCAAAACTGAACAAAGTATTCGAGGTGCGGCCTCACCAGGGCCGAGTACAGGGGCACGATCACTTCCCTGCTCCTGCTGGCCACACCATTTCTGATACAGGCCAGGATGCCATTGGCCCTCTTGGCCGCCTGGGCACGCTGCCGGCTCATGTTCAGCCGGCTGTCAGCCAGCACCCCCAGGCCCTTTTCCGCCAGGCAGCTTTCCAGCCACTCTTCCCCAAGCCTGTAGCGCTGCATGGGGTTGTTGTGGCCGAAATGCAGGACCCGGCACTTGACCTTGTTGAATCTCATCCATTTGGCCTTGGCTCATCGATCCAGCCTGTCCAGGTCCCTCTGCAGAGCCTTCCTACCCTCGAGCAGATCAACACTCCTGCCCAACTTGGTGTTGTCTGCAAACTTACTGAGGGTGCACTCCATCCCCTCATCCAGATCATCAATAAAGATATTGAACAAGACCGGCCCCAGTACTGAGCCCTGGGGAACACCGCTCGTGACCGGCCGCCAACTGGATTGAACTCCATTCACCACAACTCTCTGGGCCCGGCCATCCAGCCAGTTTTTGACCCAGCGCAGAGTACACCTGTCTAAGCCGTGAGCCGCCAGCTTCTCTAGAAGAGTGCTGTGGGAGACGGTGTCAAAGGCCTTACTGAAGTCCAGGTAGACCACATCCACAGCCTTTCCCTCATCCACTAGGCGGGTCACCTGGTCATAGGAGGAGATCAGGTTGGTCAAGCAGGACCTGCCTCTCGTGAACCCGTGCTGGCTGGGCCTGATCCCCTGGTTGTCCCGCTCATGCCTTGTGAGCGCCCTCAAGATGAACAGCTCCATAATCTTCCCCGGCACCGAGGTCAGGCTGACAGGCCTGTAGTTCCCCAGATTCTCCTTCTGGCCCTTCTTGTAGATGGGTGTCACGTTGCCAAGCCTCCAGTCATCTGGGACACAGTACAGAGGCAATAATAGAAAAATTATGTAAATGCAGGCTGGACTTTCATTCTAGCATTTTTGCACTAAGATATCCCGGAGAATATTGGTGTTTTCCAGTGATGTAGGCCTTCAATTCCCTTCTTTACTAGAAAACTTAGGTTCAAAGGCAAACTCTTAACAGACGCCGTGTGGGACTGGAGCCACATTAGCTCACAGAGGTACTGCCTTCTGCTGCTGCCCAGCCAGGATGGTTTCTACAGGGCTCAAACACTGGTAGGGCTGAGCCAGAAGCATGGAGACCCTTCTGTCCTGTTCTGAAGTGCCTTGGGAGGCCAGGAGGAGGAGAGGTGATGCAGGTATCTTTGTGCTTGTTTCTCTGTTTTGGATATTACATGCTGCCCAATGTCAAGAGAGGGCTCATGCCTTGTTAACCTGCAAGATCTGCTGCTGGCATTAAAGCCATGTGCTTAAGGACTGACTTCCTAGAGCCTGTCTGGGAACTTGTGCTGTCCCCTCTGCAGTGGGTGCTGCATCTCTTCTAGTGAGCACTCCTCTGCTTGCGGCAGCTCATTGCTCTGACCCACGAGGTCGTGAGCGAGGCAGCTGCTCTTACTGTGTAAGGAGAGCACAACTCCAGAGACAAAAGGTTTGGAAAGAGTAGCTCTGCACTGCAGGCAGCACCCAGCTCTGGTTACTCTTGTATTAGATTTTATGCGTTTAATTAAGATGGATATGCTAATTACAGGCTTGCTGGACCTTAGCATAAAGATTGCCATCTCTCTTTGGTAGTTACAGTAACTCTGCTGGAAGGTCAGGGCAGCTGTAAAAACACCCATTCTTCCCATCCGTTCCTCCCTTACACAGGGAGCAGAGAAGCCCCAGGAAATACAGTTGAAACCAAATTAGATGGCAGCAAGGATGCTGGAAGAGAACAAACTGGGAAGTGCCTACTTTATGCCAAATCATTTTAAGGACAGCTTGGGAGGTGCAAAAAAGATGAAAATTACTGGGCAGAAAAGGTATATGGCAGAGCACTGAACTTTTGAGTTATCACACAGCTTTGACCAAGAACACCGCTGCACTTATAAGCTACGCTCACTAGAGAAAAACGTGGCCAAGAAAAACACTTCTCATGCGCTTTCCTTCTGTAGTCTCTGGGATGCTAACAGTACATAGCTCAAGAGGGGAGCTCTGTGAAGGTTTGCAGTAGTGAACAGTGTGACACAATGTTTCCATAGAAAAAATTCTGCTTGTGTTGATTGGGAAAAAGCCTATTTACTTCCTTGACTGCAAAGAAACTTGACAATTTCAATTTTAGCACTGTTGTTGTACCAGGAACTCCCTTTGAAGTTGTTAATGCTCCAGGGAGATCTTGTTTTGCGTTATTTGAGTCTGATAAACATTATAGTCAGATTTTGATCCTTTGTGACAACAGCATAAACTCAGAATAAATACTCTTGGGACCCTGGCCCATGGCCCTTCAATGGAGTAATTCCGTTGCAGGTGGCAGCAGCATCTGGTCTTTTATGTTTTTAATAGTGGCTGTAAGGTCCTCAAAGGATGAACAATTTGTGTACGGCTCAAGTTCTTTTCTTTCAGCTAAAGCTTGATAATGATGTTCTCACCCACAGTTAAAAATAAAAGAAGTGTTAGATACAGAAGTGCTCCGGGTCTGCAAACAGGTGCTCCATCACTGGGAGTCTGTGAGGGTCAGCGTTATCTGTAGGGATCTCAGCCCGCAGGCGATACTGTCAAACTGAATTTTGCAGCGTAAGGTGCCTTTGGGGAACTAACTTTAGTGCTCCTGGGCACTTTGAGAGTGTATTAATGGGGCCATAATTCCAGCAGCGTTAATCAGACCCCAGGATGTAAAAGGGAATGATTCACAGAGAAACACTGTGTTCTCTCAGTCTGTCACTGTGGGAAGGCATTGGTAATGCATGAGTGGGATTTGTGGTATTTTTCAGTTCACATGCTCAGGGATTTCCTCTGCAGCTTCAGGAAGAGTTTTATTTCTCTGCAGGAAGAAGTGACAGGGGTCCCTTGAAAGGAAAGTTGAGGTTTCACAGGTTAAAGTGTGGGTGTGAATAATGAGGGACCCTGTTCAGGTTGGCAGGGTGACTTGCCTGCACAAGCCCACAGGTTAAAGTGTGGGTGTGAATAATGACTGTCTAAGGTTGAGGGACCCTGTTCAGGTTGGCAGGGTGACTTGCCTGCACAAGCCCATGTACTGAGACAGACCGGATCTGTTGTTGGATTTTGAGGGACCTTTGTTTTGTCTTTTGTTTTAAAGCAAGCTGAGGAAAGCCAGTGTTGATGCTTAAGGAAAGAGCTGATGCACAGGAATTTGGGGGTCTGTTCACAGTTTTGCTGCTAATATTCATCCAGGGTCCATGGCAGATGTTCAAGCCTGGCCAGCTGCTCTGGTGGGGCATTTGGTGACCACTGGTGGGGTGGTTAAGCATTGCTGAATGCCAGAGATGACTAACCCCGTGCTGTGTGCAATTCTCACCCCCACTTTCTCCTCCATTTCTTTCTCCTCTCCTTTTGTTTATCTTTATTTGGTTAGCTTCCAGCCAAACACCGAGGAGCAGGGGAGTGCATCATTCAGCACACTGAGAAGGAAGGCAGGGTCGCAGCCCTGGCTCCTTTAGCATCAACACAAAATACCGGTAGCAGAGTCTGTTTCCTTAGTGGGACATAAGCTCTGCCCTGCTAGTCAGGCCTGTGATCAGTTTGGCCATTGGCCTAAGTTAGGGCAGATAATCTGAATTGCTTGCTGTTTAAAAAGGCAGCAAGGGAGGGGAAGAGTTTGATATGGTCCAATCCAGAAATAGTGTGAAAACTAATTGCAGCATGGGAGGGAATGGGACAGAAGGGTTGCGATCCAGGAATGGAAAAAGTGGGCTGTGAGACAATGGAAAACTCCTTTTAAGCGGTATGTACTTTGGACTTGTTCCAGAAAAGGGGAAGTGAACAAGTGAAGAGGGTTTCAGTCACTTTTTATGTTCTCTGGTTTTGATTTAGGTCTGCTCCAGCTCCTACCCAAGGGCCCACCAGTGCTGGGGCTGCAGGGCCACCTCCTGCTACCAACGTGTCAAGCAACAAACGGCTGCAGCAGACACAAGCCCGGGTGGATGAGGTAAGTGGCTCTAGGTGATTTGTTGCTCACCACAAGGGTGCTGATGTGATTTTTTTTTTTCCTTTAAGATGCTTTCCTCCCTAGTGATCCAGCAACTCTGCTTGTCTGAAGGCAGTGGATCTAGAAAATTAGGTTTACCAAAGGATGGCATTTATGAGGAGGCAGATAGTACAGGAGAGATTCTGAGTACGAACATATTTGTACCGGTAACACTTCTGCAGAATAAATGTGGGCATTGGTGCCAATTCAGGAATTCATCCCAGTCAGTCAGATTAGGAGGAAATGTCATAGTGGAACCAACTCTTTTAACATGTTCCTGCCTTCCTAAAGGTTAGACGCTAATCTCACAGGCTGTTTCACAGGGACAGACCATCAGCTTCTCATAGATAGATTCAAGCCATGAGAATTGTACAGCTGAGGGCTGTGTTCATTAGCCAGAGCTCTATTCATTAATCATCACAATTTATCCCCAAAGAAAGGCACCCACACATGATGTCGTAACAGCATCTCAACAAATCCCCACTCCTTTTGTTGGTCTTAGAGGACCACGTGCCTGTTCCAGCGTGGATCCTTAAGTTCTTGTAGCATACAGACTACCCTGCCACCTCAGCTGTAATGCCAGCGTCCATCTAACTGCTGTGATAATGGGAATAAGTGAGCATGCCACCGCTCATGGGTGTCGTCCCTGAGTGTACCAGCAGTACAGTAGCAGCTGTAGCATCCCTGCACACCTGCTGTGAAGATTTGTGTGCTGGGTATTGAGCGTAGAGTTTTGCTAAACCCCTACAAAGACTTAAGTAACTAATTGCTTACTGTCCATGGGGAATTGGCCAGGGCTTGTGTGATTTTTTAATGCCAATTCAATAAAATACATATTAGAAAGTAGGTATTCAAATGCATAAAGGCCTCTATTTTCAAAAGCTCCAGGTAAGCTTTAAAAATAGTAGAGAAGGCCTCACAACATCCAACTCAAATGCATTTCTTAAGATGAATTACATACACCTGTCAAATTGAGCTTTGTCTTTTTGAGAACTTTTTTTCTTTGCTGAACATCTGAAACAGGGTCTTTCTGGCCTCCCCATTGCTGATGCTTGGAGCTGATCACAAGAACATCCTCTGGCTGAAGAAATGTCTGCAGAAATGTCTAGGCCTGGTTCTCTCATTATCACTGATTTTCACATCACACTAACTTCATTGACATTAGTGGAGTGTCTCTTGCAGTGGGGAAAAGAATATTACATTTCAGCTTTTGTCTTGGGTCAGAATAATGAAATAAACGTCTTGTCCTGAACATATTACATCATGATGGTGCTGTAATTGTTTATGTGAGCTACAGCAAAAGTAATTGTCCCTAGAAGATGAAAAATAATTGCTAGTTATTGTCTAAAACAAGTGGTGCAGATCAATGGAGATGGCTCCAGTGAGGCTAGTGAACCCCCACTTTGTGTTTAAGATGCTCTGTATTCTAAGACTTTTCACTCAAGCCCATGCAAGTTTTTCTTCTTGTGAAGCATGATGGCATAATTTTGGCAGGAACTCCCCCCAGTATGAGGGAACAGTGAGTAGCTCTTGGATTTGAGGATTATGCGGGTGATAATCAGGGTCCACGTTTTTTTCGCCTCCCATTTGAGAGGGAGGCTGAGGTTGGTATGGGTTTTGAGTGGACAGCACATGGTCAGCAGATCCTTGTTTAATAGGAAAATCACAGTATAAGAATAGCCAAGGGAGAAAAATGCCACTGGGCTTTCAGTACTGTGAAGTCACTAGGATGAAACTGGTTTATAGCACCTAAGGATCTATCTGTTAAGCATTGCTTTGACCTTCCTACTAGATCTTTCCTGGTTGTTTTTCTTTCATGTCTTGTAGGAAAGTAATCTATAGGTGGCACCAAACACCACAGCACAGCACTGCACTCCTCTGGCTATTCTGCTCCAAGTGCTGTTCTGCACAGCACTTCAGACCCAAACCCAAAACTCAGCAACACGATCACGGCTCTGCTTAAGAGAAAATTTTTGGTCTTGGTAAAATGACCGACATTTTTAGTGCTATATCAGTGCTGATATAGTATTTCAGCTATATCCGTGTTGGGTTTCCCCCTCTGATTTCTCTAGGCATCCTAGAGCTTATTTTCAAAGGCTCAGATCTTGTTTTTAGTCTAGACAAACATCTATTTATTTGACAAAAATGCATTCTCGTCTGGACAAGTGTTCACTGCAGTCAGGGTAAATTCAATAAATAGTTCTGGGGGAAAAAAGGACAGAATGGGTAGGAAATATTACAGTATTTTTTTTCAGCATTTTCAAATAGTTTAAAATTTTCACTATGAAACATTGTACCAAGAAAAAATTCAGCTAAATACTAGCTGAGAAATGAAAACAAAAGTTTTTTTAATTTGATATGAAGTTAAATGCTTGGAAGGTTTTGGTTTGGAAAAGCAAGTAAGAAAATTTTGGTTGACCAAAACATTTGATTTTGTTTTAGGTTTGCTAGACAAGTGAAACAAATCTTTTGAGTTTTGGAACAGCATTTAACCCTATGCCGGTCCTTTCAAAAATTCTTTCACTACCAGTTTCATCTCACTGTATTTAAATCACGTATTTAGTGGGCGTGGTGGTGTTTAGTGGGCATGGTGGTGTTAGGACGGTTGGACTCGATGATCTTAGAGGTCTTTTCCAACCTTAATGATTCTATGATTCTATGATTCTATTTTTTTAATAACTCTGGGGTTTTGCAGGTAATAGTTAAATTACATTAAATACAAACAACATGGATTTCCTTATTACAGAGTATGAGAAGTAACAGACCAGCAACCATATTCGCTGCTAGAATAAATGGACACAACTTTACCGAGACTGGTATACTGTCTAACATTTAGACAGTATAATTTGACAGATGAATTTGTACAGGATTTCTATTTGGAGTTATTGGCTTGCTAGAAGAGGATTTTCATCTAACTCAATGTATAAAATATATGCATGAATGGGCCTTACCTATTGCATACTGGCTGCGCACACTTTTTTTGCTGAGGCTGTGCGATGAGGTGGCATGAGCTTGCTACACTTCAGGCTGAATTTTCTCAGGTAAAACTTTCTGCTCCTCCGCTTTCAAGCAGGACTTCAAATTATTGGCTTGCTAGAAGAGGATTTTCATCTAACTCAATGTATAAAATATATGCATGAATGGGCCTTACCTATTGCATACTGGCTGCGCACACTTTTTTTGCTGAGGCTGTGCGATGAGGTGGCATGAGCTTGCTACACTTCAGGCTGAATTTTCTCAGGTAAAACTTTCTGCTCCTCCGCTTTCAAGCAGGACTTAAAATTATGGCTGTGAAGTCATCTTGCCTGAGAAAGATCTGCCGAATGAGTAAATTCCTTGGTCAGGAAATACATACAGTTCCCTTTAGAGTGGCCTTTATCTAGCCAATTTCTCTAGTTCAGGTAAGGTAATTATACTAAATGTATAAGGAAAATAATGGCTTGGTCTTAGTGATGACTGGACAAATGTCAACCAAATTGTAGTAGAGATACTGATCTCCATCAAAATGTCAACCAAATTGTAGTAGAGATACTAATCTCCATCGTTTTTTTGTATCTATAGTGAACTAGGTAGTTGTCGACTAAAAGAAATAAAAAGCTTTAATGAAACTAATTACGGTATTTCATAATGTCCCTTTATTTTTTACCTTTAAGGGCATCTGAGCACAGTATAGCTATGTTCATCTTGTTCTCACTGTGTCCGTTTCCATAGGCATGGTTTTTGAGGCACTGTCCAGGTAATTGCCATCACATACCATAATGGCAAATGGCTGGTTTCAGTGTGATATGTGATATTCCAGAGTGTGAACATACGGTGACCTTCGGCTTTACTGTGAGTGGAATCTAACGTGAGGCTGTGCCTTTGCAGGTGGTAGACATCATGAGAATGAACGTGGACAAGGTGCTAGAAAGAGACCAGAAGCTATCAGAACTTGACAACCGGGCGGATGCATTGCAAGCAGGTGCCTCACAGTTTGAAACCAGTGCAGCCAAACTGAAGAGAAAATACTGGTGGAAAAATTGCAAGGTAAGGGATATAAATTCTTGTTAAGAATCTCTTCATGGCAGACATTACTTTCACTTGCATTTAATGGGGCTTTGCTTGCAGGATGGCATCTCTAAGTGGTCTCTTCTTGTCAAGGGGAGAAAGAGATGCCTTGCCCTCTAGGCTCCAGGATAATAAGTCAAGCAACTTTGATCTTTACCAGAACCTATTCTTTAGATAATTTCTGCAGTATATAAAATGTAGATACGAATTTTGATGCTTCAGTCAGTGCCTGCAGATAGGGATGGGAGAGCATTCCATGTTAATTCATGTCAGTTCCCTGTGTGAATGACAAAACCTGAACAGGTGTAGTGAATTCTAGTGGTGGGAGAAAATAAGTTTTTTCCTTATGGGAGATCATCAGCCTCTAGATCTTTCTTTAGGAAGGTAAACTACCAAAAAAATACTTGGTTCCACAAACCGCTGTGAGAAGTGAGGAAATGAGAGTCTCTTTTAAAGAGGGGCAGATTAGGATAGAGCAGGACTTTAATCAACCAGCTCTCTCCTCTGCTGTCTTCAGTCCCATCCTTTCCCACGAGCAGAGGGAACCTCACTCTCCTTTGCTTTTTCAGACCTCCTCAAGGACTTGTGTTTTCTGGACCCAGAAACTTCAGCTCCTCTTATTCATATAAGACCCCATATCCTTGCTTCTTTCTACTCATGCACCACCAACACATGAACACTATGCCAAAAGTTCAGCTTCATTTCCATTTCTCTTCAATACCATCTTTGCTGCTGATCATTCACGTCTACCCAAAAAACCCCCCCCCTGTTCCCAAAGGAGAATCTCACATGTATCTCTTACCAGTCTGTTGCCTGCTTTGTCTCTTCAATTCACAGGACTATGAAATGTAAAGCAAGGCAAAATATTCTGGGTAAACTACACACAGAAACACTCCAAAAATAAGTGGATCTAGGTTAGAAATTCAACTGAGCAGTTCCTCTGGGCCTCTTCTAGTTGTTGCCCAGTTGCTTTGCCTGACAGTGCAGGAAGCAGGGTTTTTGGGAGCTACAGACACAGATTTTGAGTTAGGTTCACCAATGCTGACTGCAGTCACCACAATGACCTACACTACACTAGACCTTCAAACCTACCTTTGTTCTCCTTTCCTCATTGTCCCTTCCTGCTTTACCCTGACAAACAGAATCCCCCTGTCTTTCCTCTGGGTCCTAAACTCTGGAAGGAGGGGAAAAAATAAATAAAGCTCCTGCAAGCCAATGGCTGGCTCTGTCCTCCAGACATACGTTGGGAGGAATGAAGGCCTTGATTAGACATGTCCGTGTTTGTTGTTTTAGTCTTTCCATTCTCACTGGGGTAATGATGGGAATTGGACTGCAGCATCTCTGGTGGCCTCAATAGCATTCAGCAAGTCTCACGTGGGGGCTTCTACCCCACACAGCTCAGTGCTGTTATGGTCTGTGCACAGCTGGCTCTGACATATCTGTTCTTGTGTGAACAGATTTCAACTTTGCGATGAGCTATTTCCAGGCTAACACACTGGAAACTGTGCTGGCTAGCATGGGTTACCTCTCTCAACAGCACAAGTACACAAAGCCAGCACAAATAGCTACTAGGCATTAGACATCTCCAGCTGTCTCTTCCCTGACTATGGCAACGTGGTGAAAAGTGACCACGTTGCTCCAGTATAAAGTGGTACGTGGCCACGTGTTAATCCAGCCACTTAAATCACCTCTGGAGTTGTTTTACTTCGTAAGTTTACTTTTTCTTTACTTTACTGCTGGAAATGGATAAGGTTGGTCACTGCATTTTAGCTGGTGGGCAAGAACTTGCTAGCTTTGACAAGAGGTTATGTCCATTGCTGGTGGTCAGCTGTTCCTAACACTGACATTAAATTTGGGGCCTTAACAAGTCTATTGCAGTGAGTCTTTGCAAGAATTAAAAGTGCAAGGAATGAGCCACTAAGTAAAAGCAAAAAAACTGAGGGCTTAATGTCTTTCACGTGAAAACCTGACTTTCTCTTTTTTCTCCTCATAACTTTCTTTTTACAGATGATGATCATCCTTGGTGTAGTATGCGCAGTCATTCTCATTATAATTATAAGTGAGTAATTAATTTTCTCTTTTGTTTATGATCTCAATAGCTCTGTGACTTATGAAGTGCTGATATATTAAAAACCAAACCAAAACAAAAAATGGATATAAAATATTTAAACTGATTAATTTGTGAAATTCCCCTTCTAGTGTCATGCTGTTATAGTGAGAATTACTGCAAACTCTCTGGACACTTACATAGGTAGGATTTGTTGACATTTAATGTATTTTACATTAGCATGTTACATAACTTTCCCTAGGATTAAAGACTCTCCCTTTTCATGTATATATAAATTTTTATGCAGTCTCAGGTATCTTCCTTTCATTACAACCACTGCCACAGTCCTGGTGTTTTCTAGTGAGAACAGTAATGCTTGAATTACCTCATGCCTATAAAAAGAGGGTGAAGGCCCACAGGCAAACGGGCATCTGATGATTTTTTTAAAAGCATGTAGGTGCCTAGTTCCCATCAAATCAGCTGGAATTTGAGATGTTGGTGCTTCTGAAAATCCCTTTGCATCTTGAATACCTAAATATTGTTAAAAGATGGCCCAAAGTCTTACCGATTTCTTGTCTCAAAAGATCATCTCATTCCATAAATTTGTTACAGGAAAGATAGCATATAAATGAATAATAGCAGTCGTGCTGGTTGGGACCCAGGGATCTTTTAATGACAGGAACTGAACATTTTATTTATGTAACCTCTGTGTTAGCAACAGCTGTTATGTGACATAACTGTAATACGGCATTAACTCCTAAAAGGGAGATTTCTTGAGTTAGACAATCTAGGTAGTAACCCAGAAGAGATTCACTAGAAGGCTCGACTGTGGATATGAATTAATTCCCAGCTCTCAAATTACATGCCTCGTATTCGGCATGTTTTCATTTTCCTCTGTTGCTTCTGTAAAGAAGGCTTACAGAATCACCTGTAGACATGACTAAATGGATTGAGATACATGTGGCAGTTTATTAGTTTATGAATGCTGGCACCAGAGTGACCCAGAATAATTCTAGGGTTTCGTAACACTGATACAGCAAGAATGGGAAATGGCTAGATATTAATTAACTATATTAACTGGGTACTCAAGGCAACTGGCTTCAAGGGAAAGACGGGCCTTTGTTCTGCAGTCTAGTGCAGCAAGCTGGGAAGACAGATGTGCAGCCATTGAATTGATTGCTGTGTGTATATGCATCATTGAGCATTATGTGTATCTTAACAAGAAAGTAAAAAGCAGACAAGATAGCTCATAATTTCTTCTTAGAAGTTAAGCCTGAAATTATATATAAGTAATGACATTGTTTCCCTCCTGGTTTTAAATAGCAGGTTTGACATGGCTTAGGTTGGGTTTAGGGTATTTAATCACAAACTTGACCGTCACATCGTCAAACCAGGTCATGGCTCACCATAGTGAGATCTAGTGCAAGTTTGGTGAGATTTAAATCTATTTAAGCTCTGGATCTTAAATTATTTCTTCAGTCTATTTGATCCTTCTGTAATAGTGCCTAAAGGTTGCAGCTTCAGGAAGGACCCTGTGTATTGAACTCAATGATGTACTTATTTACAGTAGCTCTCAAGTATATGTTTAAATCCTGTTGACATCAAGCGTTCAAGTGCTGCCACAGACAAGGCCTGCACGGCTTCTCCAGTCACTGATTTCAGTGGGAACAAGATCATATCCCCCATGCAGGGCTGGCTATAGATGCAGGTAAATTGGGTAGTTCCTCACAGCGACAAGCTACCATGGGTGGTGAAATGGCCCAAGCCAGGCTTCCTACCAACCTGGTAGTGGAGCCCTGGAAAAGCAGGCTGGTGCCCTGCTTTTAAGGAAGAGTTACAACATGTGGGACTGCAGGTGTTGCTGGAGCTGAGGGTGGCAGCTAACATCACCATCAGTCCTTGCCCTTTCTGTCTTTCGAGCCGCAGTCTCCCCTGCTTTCCACTGCAGTTCCCCTTCCGAACTCCTTTTGACATGGGAGAAGCAGCCCCGTTCCAGCCAGGAAGGCATACTGTGTGCAAGACATGTCATGCTCTTTCAGCAAAGGTGTGCTAAAGGTGTTTGCCATCCTCTTGACAGCACACGCTTCTGTGAGATAAAGCACAACAGTAACTCTGTAATAACTGTTGGTTTATGTATTTCTTTTCCCTTCTGCTTTCTTTCCCAGTTTATTTCTCCACTTGAAAAAGCGAAGAAGGAAGACTTGGCACAACTTTGTTCATATCAACCAACGCTATCAGTGTTCCTTTGTTGAATTCCGCTTTTTAATTCCTGGTGTCTTGGGATTTTTGCTTGTAATAACCCATAAGCATTCAGTGTGATGTGTTTTGGAATTCTGTTGTTTCCACAAGAAACTGTACCAGCTAAATACTGCCAAGTAGTTCCATACGCTGTCTTCTCACTGTGTCTTAAAATGTGTACGCACTGACCTTCAGAAACTGTAGTATATGAAAAGCATCCTAAACATCTCAGAATCAGAGAATGCAGCTATGGAGAAGCTCCTGCTTAAAGGGACACTGTCAGGTGGACTGGACCCAAACCTAAGGTTGCAGCAAACACTAGGGCCAAAATTCTCTATCTGAGCACCTGAAGTTGGATGGCAAAATCCACTATCAGATGTAATTTTCTGAGGTAGTGAGTATCTGCTACTCCCATTGAAGGGAGTGGTACCTACAAGTATTCATGTAAGACATCTTATTTCAACTTAGCCAACCAAACACAGATTTTTTGAGATTAGTTGTAGTATCCAAGTCTAAAAGCATTGCCTGCAAAAAATAAATAGGACTGGATTATCATCTTTTATGGATTTAAATTTTTCCTTATGGGGTGTTCTGTACAACCAGGATGGCCTCAGTATGAAAGCCAGAAAGAAAACTGTGTGACAACCAAAAAAGCATTAGCTAGCACAATCTTGAAAAAGCCCAGTGAAATGCAAAAATGGTAATACAATCATCATAAATGACCAAGATACGGTGTCTTGCTAAAAACTGAAGGCACTGTTTGTCAGGCTTGATGGGACTCTCTTGAATGCCAGTCCCCAATATTTACGGCCCTAACTTAAAGCACATGAACAACTTTGATGATGTCTGTGGCTTCCCAGCACAATTGTAGGAAGCTACCTCTGCACCATTTTGCAGAAATGGTCGCAACTGTGAGGACCGTTCAAAAATCAGGAGGAAGGTGGTATGGGTAAATAGAGGGAACAGTGGAGAGGGGCCGAGAAAGGGAAGGGTGCCTAGCAAAGCTTTCCTGGAGAAGAGGAAGGCAGAGAAATGCTGTTCCAAAGTGGTGGTGTTAATAGGCATTTTAAAAATGTAATTTAATTTGTGTGTGTGTATGGTTCGTAAACTATAGTGTCGTCTTTGTGAAGTGCTCAGCTGAGATATTTTTCATACTCAATTGGTTTAAGCTAACATTTGATGTAACTAAGAGAAATTATATATTGCGGTTTGAGAGAAAGTTCTTGTATGCTTTTGTTGTAGGGTTTCTCCTAAATGTTGAATTCCTTGTTTTTTCTTTTTTAAACACTGACTAGTTTAATCATAGTTAACCAAACTAATAATGAATTACCAAATTTTGAGCCAGGAAGTTCTGAAAGGGTCTTTTTAGGATAACTCCTTCAGAATTTCTAACTACTCATAGAATTAAAAGAAAATAAATTTGGGTTGGTTCCCCCCCCCGCAATTTAATTAGGGCATAGAAATAGTGATAATAGTAGTGTAAATATTCCCACTGTGGAGCATCTCTCTTGACATGGTCTTAGATGAAAAAAACAGAGACCCAGACCAGTTCATTGCAGTGGATGTATATACAAATTGTGCTTAAGTAGAATTTTGCAGAGAGAATAAGCAATGATCAGTTGAAAGGTTCCAGTTGCATTTTTTCCCCTATATATTTATTACTTCATATTCACATGTACTGTTTCATATCATTAAGTAGTAAGTGGCCGCAGTCTTAATGAAACTTAACTTTCAAAGTTACTGATGTGCTACTGGACTCCCTGGTATGCCCTGTTCACTTCAGTCCTTCAGCTGAGCGAGTACACAAACAATTCTAAAATCTTCATGGGCCAGACAGAAAACTCTGCTGTCATGAAGGGCCCGACTCCATGAGGTGCCACAACTAAATGCTATGTACAATTGAGCCTTCGCTGGAAAAGGAATAAGCCGTCCAGCTTCAGGACCCTTTTTAAACTACTGAGATATTTGGCTAGCTGGTACGAAAGAATTATCTACTAAGAGTGAGACCCTGCCACCCACACCCATGTTGAGCGTGGCTTGATCCTCACAGGGCTTCTTTACAGGAATGCTGAAAGGACTCAGGAGATGAAGATAGCTTTCACTGGAGATGGTACAATCAGTAAGGTTATAAGCTGATACAGATCCTTAATGTACACAGTGCCTTCTCCTATGAGAGTCTGAAGTGACTACTGAGCTAATATGGCTGCAAATACACATCAAAGAGTTTGAACCCTCTAGCTACAAAGATGCAAAGTTTCCAAATGAAACTGTAGTGAAACTGCTATAAGGGTGCAAAGCTTAGATCCTCCTAGCTAACGCATCTCAAGCAAGTAAATAATCGAAGTGGGAGCTTTAAAGGAGAGTGGAGAAGAGAAACTGCTGGTTGTGGAATGTGTACTCATTCTCCCTCAAAACAGTAACTAATGGGGATGACTGCTAAATGTTGGTGAGAATTTGCAAGGAAGAGTTTAGTCAAGAAACCTAGCCTTTAGCGGGTTGTAAAATGTTTCTGAAGAGACAATTTCCTCCTGTGTGCTAATGAAATATGCTAAATTAATGTGTTTAACTCTTTTAAGTTTGCATATAGTGTGCTCGTGAATGCTCAATGTTTGCTAGTTGTGCTGGTTGGTCGCAATTGGTAAGATAGGCCATGTAACATTTCTAATTCAGCCCAGGCAGCATGAACAAGTATGTCCTTCCCTGATGCACAGACCCAGAGTCAGACTGCTCCTGCAGAGGGTTAATTCTTCTGCAGGGAGAATATGGTAATATAGGACTGTTCAGGGTCATAGATTGTGCAACACCATCACGTATATGTAGACTGGTACAGAGGACGATCTATATAAACACAGTTGGAGATCTTATTTGTGTTGAAGCCAGGATTGATTGCTTTCCACTCACTGCCTCTACATTTAAAATGTCCATGCAGTTACAACTGCCTACGTGTAATAGTACATTTCCGATGAAAAGGTTAACTCATTCTTGTTTAGTCAGCACTGATTAGAATTCCAATTACTGGCTGGAATTTCAACTACTACTCTTCATCACTAACTACTGCCTAGGTTTTTACCTTGGGCTGGTAAAAAGGCACAAAAGGGCTTCCTTTTACCCACTCCCCAGCAAACCCTCAGGGGACTGCAATGCTGATTGCTTTCTGACTGCCATCTTGGGGACTGAACTGAAGACTTCTCTGGCTGGAAGCAAGGATATTGATAGCTTTAGCCAGAGTTAGACATGGTTTGAGACTTGCATATTCTAGCCTTATAAGAAGCGCTTATTCTTCCTCCGATTTCTGGGCTACAGCTGTTCAGCTAGGATGCTAGCATGATATGCCATTCAGAAACAGTATAGCTGAAATGGGATGGTTAGGAGCTGGTCTGTGCTTGTATCACAGCTGCTGTTTGGCTTGCCAATTGTCCTGGTTTCGGCAGGGATAGAGTTAATTTCCTTCCTAGTAGCTGGTACAGTGCTGCATTCACCAATGAATGCACATCAGCTTCTGAGGTTGAAGAAGTGTTATTTGCAGCCACTGTCCACAGGCTAGTAAGGTCCTGCTTGGGCATTACACCTTCTTCCTTTTAATTTAGCTCACCTTGCAATAACATAAATGTGGCTTTAAACCTAAAAAATTTGGTACACAGAACTTGCAGGAGCAAGTAGCGTAGAAGCCCAAACAGGGCACTTGACCTGATTTTCACTTGACAACATTATGTAACAGCACAGTCAATCCAACATAGTCCAACATAATCCGATATTATTAGAAGTAGGAGGGGAGAATCTGATAAAGATTCTGAATGTAACCTAGGGTCTGTAAGACAAGAATTGATTTAGAAACGTAGTCAGTTTGATTTTTAAAGCTGGCACTTTAATTTTATTGGAACCTGCATGACATTAGCCCTGAGAACAATTCAGGCAAGTAAAATACTTGGCTTTTTTCTTTGTAAATAGTGATCTGCAACAAGTGACTTAAACATTCACGATGATGGAAGAACAGGACAGTGTGAACTGTACAAGGAATTAATTAGAACAGCCACAATCTGCTATGTTTTTGTCTGGGTAGCAAGACCTTTTGAAATTCTCCTGTTTCTGTGTCTCATTTCTGTCACTGCTCCTCTGACAGGGCTTCACATAACTTTAACTTTATGAACAGCTGAGCTACTTCTTGTCTGAATACAATGGATTTTAGCTCTTAAGAGCAAGTTCATGGCATCAGTGTTAGAGCATACCTGTAAAATGGTAATCTCTGCTTCTCAGCAGTGCATCTACCATGGGAGACTCAAACTTCAAGAACTTTTAGAAGCTCAGACGTTACTCAACTCTTTTTCAGGCTTTTACAGAGTGAGTTTTTCTCTGTTCCATGGGAGGTTGTCCACCCAGTGGGAGTATAAGCTATTTTTTTTTTATGACAGCACCTTGATCGTACGTGTTGGTGCTAGACCTTCACAAAGAAACTAGAGAGCTCTTGGGTGTGATCCAGGATTTAGATCTCAACCCTGCTTCTCCTGCCCTTTAAACAGGGAGGAGGGCTAAAGCAGTAGCCATATAAGGCACTGGGCTCGTTCCCAATGTACACAGTGAGTATTGGAGAAAGGCCTAGAAGAGACCAAAGTCTCTTTGGTCTGGATTCCTGTCCTGACCTGAACTTTAGACCCATAACAGATCATAACCTTTGGGCCCCTTGTGTAGTCAAAAGAGTGAGATGTTCTTCCAGCCAGTTCTTCCTCTCACCTGATTTAGGTCCCTCTTGCTAGATGAGATACATTTGAGCATGTGTTTCTTCACGCAAGAGAAAGCACAAGCAGCCTCAAATTATCTTCTTTAAAAGCAAAACCAAAAAGGCTGAAGTTTGAAAAAAATTAATTGTGTCTAGAGAAATGATTGGCTGAAGATTTCTCAGATGGTGACGTTATTTTCAGGAGGGATTGGGATGTATGAAGCAATCAAACCAGAATCTCACATCAGTTGTTCTTTCTTCATCTGGCCTCCTTCAGAAACACATTTCTATTCCACTTCAAGAAAGGATTTTGTTTTCCTCTTCAGCTAATTTCCCTTCCTTATTTAATTAATGTATGTC